AACTTTTCAAATTTTATTGGTACTCTTAGCAATAATTCTGCAAGAATCGAACGCAGCTTATTTTCTTTGTTTTTTGATTTATAATATAGCCTGATACTTTTCATCCAGGCTCTAAGTAAAAAAACTGGTACTAGTAAAATAGTGTTAAACCTGAAAATTATGATCTTAAAAATTTACAACAGATATTAGGTACAAAAAAAAATTGATTCGATTAACAAAAAAAATAATGAATTAGAAAAAATTTTTCGATAGTATAATAATGAACAAGCTTAAAGAAATAGTTAATTTAAGTTATTGTCAGTTTTTTTACAGTACCAAGGGTGGGCGGTTTTTTTATGTATATTTTTCTTTTGCACCTTAGCTAGCCCGGGTTTTTGTTAATAAACCACATTTATTAAAATTAAATCAGGCTAGTGCTTCTCCGTCTATTTCCATCTTTCCCCTCCCCCGATCATCGAGCCAGGCACCAGCGTGCTCCATGTCAAAGAGAGCACGACTTTTTTTATAAGTATATTAAGCGCGTTAGTTCGTACAATAATTAATACAAAGTTGTCTCAGGCAAACAGAGTTTTTGAATCACAGGTGATATTTTCAAGTGACGTATGAAATAACGAAACACACAATGACGACTTATTTCTTGTAATGTATCTGAATATTTTATAAATTCATTGATCGATTTGATCCAATAAGGCCAATTTTTTTGAAGTTACACTCATTCCAGCACGTTCTGCACAAGAGAAAATTCAGAACTCCAGAATTTTCACCCTTAAGAAAAATGTAACAGAATCGAATTTTTAACTCTAATCTCTAAGAAAGAATTGAGAATATCAATTCCTAAAACGCTTCTCTCAGGATTCAACTTCGCGATCTTACGCACACCAGCCAAGCACCGTATCCACTTACCCATTCTTATTCTGTGAAATGTAATTTTTTTTTAATTCATTCATTTATTGGAAGTGACAGTCACGTGACTACATCCAGCCAATCAACTTACGAATAAAAAGCTTTACTTCGAATTATCCTTTTTTTAAGATTACGATTGATTACATACGTGATTTCTCGTATTAGTACTACGAACTGTGCGTCTCATTTTTACGATTAATCACCGTATTAAAATAATGTAAAGTATCACAGTATATTTGTGGATGTTTGTGTGTAAGTAATTTTTAAGTGAGATACATACTTTACCATAGCGGTCTTGTACACATTTTTCGGTTTGATACAATGAACAGCACTGTAGGTCCGCATATTTTTGTAAAATTGATCTTTTTTCTCTCTCTGCATATCTGGGGGATGGTTATGATGAAAGGTCGGAAGATATTTTCCAAAAGCTCCTCGAGCTAAATACTTCTGCGTTTCATCTTTCCTGATTTTTTGGTCTGCGGAGACTTTGTATTTAATACACCTTAAATAACTGGTGGGACAACAAAATTTTTTTTTTCATTACAACTGTGGTTACTGTAAATTGCTTGTGTAAATATAAAAGTTAATTATTGCGCAGAGGAAGGTGCACAATCTCGCCCCCCACGCTATTACTTTTACATGTTAGTCCTGATTACAAAAATTTATAATGTTTTTCACGAGAACTTTGCGTGTCACTTGTCGCGTACGCGATTTTATCTTTGTACGGCTTAATTTGCTTGGAGTCAGGACAGGTTTCTATATAAAATAACGTTCAATGATGGCTGATCTCAAACATCAACGCAAAATTCACGAGTTAAAAAATAGATGAAGAAAATTATTATCGCTGTGCACACGTGTCTTATGTAGAGGGTTATCGCGGACGCGATTAACAAAAACAACATTTCAACACGAATGTCACTCATTGAATCAATCATAAAATCGAATGTGTTATTTATTTAGACGAACAACTTAAATATTATTTAACATAAATTTACATTGAGTGTAACGATAGCAATAAGTCGAGTCAAAAGTGCAATACTTAGGCGATGTCCTTAAAGTGTTGAAATCGATAGTAGGAGTAGCCATCAAATACCCACGGACTATTTCCTCTTACTCCTTTTAAAGCTACGACCTTCTCCATAATGGCGTAATCACAGTACTTTATTAAAACAATGTTTACTGCGTTATTTGCAACAAATATTAATTGACAATCTATTCAATGGTGTATCTACGATAAGCAAGGGGACGTAGTCTCATAAGGAGAGTGGTAGTACATAATAATATACGTCAGAAGAAATACGCGCATACACATACGTTCTGACAGCGCACTACAGTTTCGCAGTCGCGTCCGCAACAAACTTATGTGTAAAATTGGTCATAATGTTCTGTTTTTACTGATTTTTTAAGTGAAAACTTCTTATGGCACGTTGGGCACTTTTGTGGGTGAGCATTTTCAGCCGTTCTCGCGACAGATGAGATTTTACACAGATATACTCCGCGTGTATTCTTATAATATATGTATACTATACGCGCTCTTTGCATGGGCATTCGTTCGTGCTCTCGCGACAGACGAGATTACATACCTATATGTATACTCAGAGTGTATAGGTATGCGTATAGCATGCAGCGCTATCGCATACCTATACACTCTGAGTATACATATAGGTATGTAATCTCGTCTGTCGCGAGAGCACGAACGAATGCCCATGCAAAGAGCGCGTATAGTATACATATATTATAAGAATACACGCGGAGTATATCTGTGTAAAATCTCGTCTGTC